GTCCAGAGTGGGTGATGAGGGAGGTGACCATCAAATAACCAGCTGTGGTGGGGTCCTGCTTCCCCACTCCCATCAGACAGCTTCTGGCTGACAACCAAAGCGTAGGTGTTTGGGGTTTTTTCTTTCTTAGGTTTTAGACTATTTTTTTCTTACATTGGGTTTGTTAAAGATGCCTCGATCCTGGTTCTGGATCCTGCTAAGCTTTTAGCTTCAGCATCAGCCATGACAAGTTTTGCAGATTCATTTGTATTTTTGCTGCCTTTCGGACGCACATGCCACCTCCAGCTCCTGGGACTCCGACTAAAAGCAAGCCCCCTCTGCTCTGCCCTGCCTATGCACTGCTTTTGCACCTGCCTAGCTCGGCTTTTTTTATTCATCTTCTCTTTTCCTCTAAAACAGCCCCAGCCTGACGTGTTTCAAGAGGAGCAGGCAGCAAGGGAGATGTGATGCTGGCATGTGGCTTCACACCAACATGACACGCAAAAGTATCGCGGTATTTTCAGCCAAGGATGTGCAAAGTTACATTCAGCTGCCCTGATGTTTAACCTCCTTTTAGGACTGTCCCTATGCAGCAAAAAAAAGAAGTGCTTTTTCTTTTTTTTCATTCAAATCATCTGTCCCCAAGTCCTTGTTTCTAAAATAATTCCAGCCAGTGCTGAACCCACTCCTGCCTGGGCAGCTCAAGTCAGCTCCTGCAATAGAAATCCCCTTTCCTTTTTCACTGCTTCATTTTGTCCACTCTGAAGTCACCTGCCTTTGGTAGATTCCCCCAAAACCCCCCAAATCTCAGCCCCCTCCGGATCACCGCTGCCATGCAATTACAACTCTCCCTGGCTGCGCTGGCTGGTCGCGGCACCGCCGGGCTGGAGAGGACCCGGGTCATGGCCAGCATTGTGAGGCCAGCCCGCTTGCTGAGGAGGAGGATGGCAAGCAGAGGGCTGGGAGGGATTTCTCGCTGATGATATTGTTACATTCTTTCCGAATCCTGGGAGTAAACAGACACTCCAAATTTAGAAAGAACAGGACTGGAAAATTTAAACATTCCTTGAAGAATTGGTACAAAAGGGGGGGGGGGGGGCG